GCGTGGGCACTGGGTCCGCCCGCATTGCCCTCCACATGGATGGAGCTCGGGTCTTCAACGCGGCCGCCGCTTTGGGCGTGGGCGTTGAACGCATCTGCCGCGACTTTGACTCCGTCTCCATCTGTTTCAGCAAGAGCTTATCGGCCCCAGTGGGCTCTGTCCTGGTGGGCTCTAAGGCCTTCATTTCCGAGTGAGTTTACCCCGCCGTCGGCCAGAGTATCTAATTTCTAGCAAGCCACTTCCTTATTTGCTCCTACACGTTATTACGATTGAGGAAATTGGTTCTTAGCTTAAGTCCATTTTTAGTTAATGGAAAAGTGATACTAATTTTGGAAAAGCACTTGATTAAATTAGATTTGCTGGGCTGGAAAAAAACCTTAGAGCCTTAACATTTTGTTTTACGAATTAGAGAAATTTATAAAATAGGTATAAAACTAATGACCTTTGTTTTTCCATGTCAAGAGCACATCGTCTACGTAAAGCCTTGGGAGGTGGCATGCGGCAGGTGGGCGTGTTAGCTGCAGCAGGACTAGTAGCCCTTGATGAAGTAGTGCCACTGCTGCCCAAAGATCACGAGCATACCAAGAAAATCGCACAAGGCAAGTGTAAAGGAAACCCAACTGGATTTCATATTTATTGTTTTCTCACTCAGCCATTTTCGATCTGAACAGTCCGAATATCACCGTGAACCTGGAGACTGTGCAGAGCAATATCCTTCTGGTGGAGATAACTCAGCCCAAACTGTTGGCCAGTGAGTTAGCCGACCGTCTGGGCATTGTGGAGTCCGGAGAAGTGGCAGCCGGAGTGACGGGTAAAAACGGAGCCGGAATCGTGGTGAAGGCCTGTGCCCGGGACTGGGCCTTTGCCCGTCTGGTGCTCTACCACCAGGTGGACGACGAGCTAGTGGAACTGGCCATCAGGAAGCTGAAGTACGTCATTGGGCAGTACGACCTGCGATGGCCCCGGGAATAGGCGCTGAATTCTTTTGAATATTACTGGAAAGACAAACACAATTAGATTTCGCTTTTTGTCGTTTAATTAAAGAGATAGAGGGAGCGAAGAAAAAGCTCAAATTTGTATTATTGCTCCTTGAGTGGGTCCGAGCTGCGTTTACATTCACGCATGACCGGGCACAGCTCCATCGAAGCTGATGGACATCCTGCCGGACTGGGACTCCTACCTCCAACCATTTAGCTGCTACTCCTCCCATTTAACTACTGCTCCTCCTCCACCGCTTTCGTTGCCAGAAGTTTTCCCTTGTGTGTCTGCATGAGTGCCCGGCTGAATGAAATAATAAAATTATTTTTAAAATATTATTGTCAATCCGGCGATGTGCTCATCGATTTAAAAGCCTGGAGCATGCTCCATCCTCCAGCCATCGGACAGTTGTGATTTATAAGCAAACTTATAGCCGGCGAATGCGGAATGCGCTCAAAATGATTGGATGGCCGGGATCCTGGGTCTCTGGGTCTCTTGGTCCATACAATGGATTAGAGAGCTCCTTTCGGGCTGAGTGAATGGCATCAAAAGGGGGCGGGGTGGCTTGGCATTGAAATGTTATATTTTATAAATTATGCTACGCCAAATGAAACGAAATTCAATTAGAGAAATTGCTGAAGCATTTGATAAATTGAAATTGAATTGACTCGGCCAAAGTTGCTCTTTGTCTGCCTGAGTCTCCGCAGATTCAGGACGGGATTAATGTGTAACAAAAAGTCATCTGGCCAAATGGCAAGTAATTATAGAAGGTTTTTCGATCAAATTTCGCCTGCACTCGGGCAACAAATACACTCGATTTGAGCCCGAAAGTATGCAATGCCCCCATTAAAGAGCCACTTTTCACTCTTCCCCAAAAGTACACACACGCAAGCTTTGCGAGAGAGGGAGATGGGCAGAGAGGGTACGAGTAAGTTGCGTGGAGGAGGGGAGGCCAGTCTATAAATAGCTTTTAGACATGCGACGACGGGTGTGAAAATGTGTGTTTGCGGTATTGCTTTTTAGCCCACAGCTCCATCATCATCATCATCACCATCATCATCATCATAGTATCTTAGCAGCAGAAGTTAATAACGGAACTCTTAACTCCCCGACATACACTCAGAACTCAGTGACGTAGCTTATGAGCGGGTTTTTGCGCAGCTGATTGCAACGTGTCAGGATGGCCGAGCGGTCTAAGGCGCCAGACTCAAGGCATTCAGCTTTGCCCTTCGCAGAAGGGTGTGTGAGCGTTCTGGTCCTCTCTGAGGGCGTGGGTTCGAATCCCACTTCTGACAAAATCTTTTTTTACTTTTCTTTCTTTTTTCAATTATTATTTAATAAATTCCATTAATTAAACAGGGAAAATTTTGAAATTAATTTTTTTAACACTCTTTTAAAGCACATTGTCTGGAACAAATAAAAAAAATTTAATTTCCAGATTATTAAAAGTAGTATAAATGTATATTGTTATGCTTTTGATTAAGTGCATCAATTTTAAAAACTAAAATGTAATCGATAACATTGTTTATGGTGTCGTTCTCTTTAATAAGTATAATAGCCAAAATTAATTAGAATTTTGAATTATGTTTTTCTGCATCTCCACAAATGTGTGTTCAATGTAAATTGAACATAAATAGTGAAATAATTGTTCGAGGTTCGACTGAACCAAATTTGTTTTTTTATACAAAAATCAATTGTTTTCCTGATTGTAATCTAGTTTAGTTTTTATTTTAATAAATAAATTTTGCATAAGAACAAGTTTAGCGAAATTTTTTTGTGATTTGACTTTTTCCGTTAAGAGTAAAAACAGTGTGATTTCCTATAAAACACAGACTTAAAACACTCTTAGAAGTAATAAATATTCTTGGTATTTCACTAACTTAAAATATTGTCAATTAATTGCATTACAAAATTTCGTCTTTAATGCAATTGCACAGTTAAAGATCATAGGCCCTGCGTAAACTAAATACCTCATTTTATTGCAGAATGAACAACTTTTTGTTTATCAATAATTCATCCTTTTTAAACAATTTTTAGTGTAAGCTCTTGACATAATTGCAATCCCTTTTGTGTTTTCCAAACATTTAATAGCATTTGAGGCCAATTAACGTAATTACATGGACCGGTAGACAGATGTGCAGCATGTAGTGCATTCAATTATGTGGCACACGCTCTTTTCCCTGCCGTTTAAACAAATGAATTGCTTCTAATGAAGTATTTAAGCGCACCTTTCTGGCCAACAGTGTGTGCGATTTAGTTAAAGTTGAAGTAATTTAATTATGCATTTACACGGTCGACATGTTCAATTAACTAAAGCCACGTTACGTCGACACTGGCATTAATTTCGGGGGATTTTCAATTCAAACTCGCCTCTTAATGGGCATTAGCATGTTTATTATCGCACCGAACGGCACCGACTTTATTGGCCACGCCGCTTTATGGCACGTGCCGCGTCTGCCAGGATTGGATGAGTTGGGGCAAATGGGTTTCATATGCGCGGATACATGATGAATAGCGCAGCTCCTTGGCCCAATAAAATATGATGGAAAAACGCCATTCCCTCATTATGCCAGTCGGGGATTGGCGTGTTACACTTTTCGCCGACTAAAATGACAATCTGTCATGAAATAAAGTCGTAAACCGCGGAGCCCAAGGAGCTGGCTGGGATTGTTCTGGTCCCGAGCTAAATTGAAATTTGCAGGAAGTCCTGCCCCCGCAACAAAATGATTATTCAATTTCAATAACCGCCTTGAAATCCGACCCTTAAATCTTCAATGCTCGCACTTTCGACTACGGAAGACATAAATTAAAGATATATTGCTTAGATAAATCGGCTGAAGTTATGAATGGAGCTAAAAAGAGAATAAAGAGAACTAAATAAACTTTAAACATGCTGTTTAAAAATAGCTAAGGACTTATAAACAAAAATTACAAAATATTATGCTTCTGAAAACACTATTATCCGATTACAGGAATGTAATTATTAACAACGATTTGATGTTTCTAATTTGATATTTTGGTCGGACTTATCATTTCGATACATTCACAACCCACTTTGAACTCTTCATTGAATGTCCCGTTCGTTTGAGAGTTTTTCGGGTGCTCTAATTTAATTAATTGCATGCGCCTAACTAAAGTCAAACAATTTCCGTATTTAATCAACGAGAAAGCAAACGAATGACTCAGACCCTGAGTCAAAGGCGAAAGAAGAGTCGGCCATAAAGGATACTGGATGATAGATGCGGGATGGGTGGTGGGTGGTTGTAAGTCATGCGAACTCATTTCGAAAATTAAGCAAATGTGCTTAAGTATAGGTGGGTGTGTGTGTGTGTGTATACAGAGTTTGTGTGTTTGCTTTTCCCTATTTTTCCTCTTCCCTGATTGTATGTGTGTGTTTTTTTGGGGGCGTGGCTGGGTGAGCATAACGTGATTGCTGCCAATTTCACAAAGCAGCAAATTGATGATGAGCTAATGCTTTGAAAATTATTGGGAAAAAATATTTAATAGGTTTATGTCGGGCTTAGGATGCGAACAAAAAATCGAAGGTACGAAACGGGTGGAGAAAGTGTGACGACGTGGTTGATAGGTAGATTGATATTTTAATTGAAAATGAGTTTGTTCTCAACGACTCTTCTTACTCAACATCTATCACTAAAATTTTAAACTTTTATTTATATGTTTTGAACAAATATCTTCATTTTTTGAAAGACTTTTGTATTAAAGTCTAAAAACCTCAAGAAAACCCCAATGTTGCTACAAATTGTTAGGAAAACCCAAGATTTAGCCACTTAGTATTAAAATAGGACTTTGCATCATTATGAGTTTTGGCTATCTGTAAATTAAAACGATTGTTCATTATCAGGGATGTTCCCACAAGCTTGGTCACACCCCAATGGGTTTTCCTTCAAGCGATACCACTTGGGATACCCGTTGATAGTGCTTATCGCAAGATTACGCTACCACTGTTGACATATAAAAGCATTTGAGACCGGCACTAGCCAATCAAACGGAATTGAATTAACATGGTCAACGGTATTGTCGTTTTGCTCCTCTGCGGACTGGGACTTATCAGTGCCCATCAGTCAAGGGACGAACTCCAGATGGTCTATCACCGTCTAAGCGTGCTCAAGGCTGTATCACCGAGGAATATTGACTATAATAATATAGACACCCAAGCCATTGGTACGGATGATTCGCAATGTCTGGCAGATATGACGGAGCTTTATAATGGACTTCAATCGGGCAGTTACTGGGCACTCAAAAGTAAGTATGACAAAATAAGCTAATAGAAACCCAAACTGATAAATTGCCAAATACTTCAGTGCTCGATTCTTGGGGTTCCTTTCCCTCGGGCCTGCTTTATGGAACATTTTATGATCTGGGAAATTTCGATGAGTGCCTTAACATCCATGAAGAGATCAGCAGCAGCCAAACGATCCAGGGAAAGTACTGTTTCCTGGCAGTGCCTTTAAAGGAAGTGCTGGACACCGGTATTGAATCCTTGGAAAGCATGCAGATCAAGATCGCCACTTGTTTTCCGGCCTCCTGCTCGGCAACTCAAATGAAAATGTTTGGAGGACAACTGTATCAAAACTTATTCAACTCCACCAAAAGTATAGATATCAGCATTGATGAAGACGGTTGCCAAACGAGCAATTCTGAGCCCTGGGATGGCCTGACCATTTTCACAGTGTAAGTAGTTAAAATTTAAAACAACTTATTTATATAGTATATTTTTACAATTTAAATTACAGTGTATTACTCTCAGTGCTAACATTAATTGTGACTTTGAGCACTTTGTACGACTACTTTCTGTGTAACGATCAGAGTGAGTAATTTTAGAAGAATTTTTCAGGGTATTTAAACTAATTTTCAATACATTTCAGAACAACTTCCAGCCTTGGTGAAAATCATTTCGGCTAGGGCCAACTCCCGAGCCCTTTTCGGCCTCGTGGTTGGCAGTTCCAATCCGAATGTAATTGACTGTCTTCATGGCATTCGCTGCATGTCCCTCATTTGGGTGGTTTTCCTCCATGAGCACATGTATTCGCTGATATCGCCAAACATCAACTTTACTTATGCGCTTTCGGTAAGAATATTTCTCAGTTTCGGAAAAAAAATCCCATTTCTAAATTTCAATAATTTTATAGTGGCTTGAGAAACCTGTTTCAAGCTTTTTTGTCCACGGTTATTTCTCTGTGGATTCGTTTTTATTTCTTGGAGGCCTACTAGTATCCATGACTGCCCTGCGCACAATGGAAAAGTGAGTCAAATTCTATGTTTGAATTTTCCGTAACTTAATTTTTTATTTTGTCTCAGGACTAAGGGCAAACTAAATGTCCCGATGATGTATGTACATCGTATTATTCGCATCCTTCCCGTCTTAGCCATGGCCATTCTGATCTATGTGAAACTTATGCCGGTTTTGAGTGGAGGACCCCTTTTCAAAAGTGGATTCCATGGCAAAGAGGAATGTGTGAAAGGCTGGTACTGGGACCTATTGTTCGTCCAGAATTACGTTTCGAAAAGTGTAGTAAGTACCATTTATAGCAAGATAGTTATGGTTTCTTAACAATTCATCTTTCAGTGTCTCGATCAATCGTGGTATCTTGCGGTGGACATGCAGCTGTATATCCTGTCGCCACTTCTCCTAATTGCACTCTATAAATGGGGCAAGAAGGCGGCTGCCGGCATTATTGTACTTGTGGTATTACTTTCTGGTTGCCTGTTTGCCACCCAGATGGTCAATCATTACTCAATGAGTATAAAGTATGTCTTGAATGTAGACGACATTTGAGATCACTTTACTTATTCCTTCTTAATTTGTAGAAATGGTGGTGGTGATGATGAGGCCAATCGAAAGCTTTACCTGGCCACGCACACACATGCTGCCCCTTGGCTGATTGGATTCCTGTTCGGCTACTTCCTGCACCTGAATCGTGGCAAGAAGTTCCAGATGAGCCGGCTGGTAGTATGGTCAGGATGGATCCTCAGCTTGGCCATGATCTTTACCTCGATCTTTGCTCTATATCCATCCGGAAAGTGGAGTGCTCCTGCGCTGCCCACTGTGGAGGAATCTCTTTACTACACTCTCACCCGATTAGGTTGGCCTTTGGCCATGTGCTGGGTGGTTTTCGCCTGTATGCAGGGCTATGGTAGCCTGGCCAACAGTTTCCTATCGTCGCCTTTGTGGCAACCACTCTCCAGGCTCTCCTACTCCGTCTTCATCTGGCACATGTTCGTCCAGGAGGTGAACAGCAGGAATGTGAGGACCAGCACTTACTTTTCGACTTACACTGTGGTGCGTACCTTGATACCTTGCCATAAAATTCTTTCTTATCTAACCAGTTTCCTTGTAGATGCTTAACTTCTGGTCAGATTTTGGTATTAGCCTGGTTATGTCCTATTTCTTGTATCTTATAATTGAGGCTCCAATTGGTGGACTAGATGCCCTTTGGAGACCCACAGGAAATGCGAAGCCTCCAGCTGTCACACAACCAATACTGACTTCAGTTGTGGAGCATAAAACTAATGCCGATGAAACCGAAAACAAACTAGCTACTTGAACTGATTAACATTTAATTATGATTATGAACATTCACTAAATTAATTTGTAGATTGAACTGATTTAGATGTAAAATAATTTATTGCAAAACTCATTTCTTGAGAAAAAAATTTTATTTTAAAGTAATGTAATCAATCATATAAAAGGCATCAAAATATTCAAGGTCAAGATCCTCAAATTAGATTATCGTTTCCTCAAATATTATCGGGGTTTTCCTGTCTATATGGCACAAAAAGTATTGGCTAATCGCTTATTGAGTGTCATATTTGTTGATAGCGCTTATCTTCAGATTGCGATTTGCCATATAAAATCACAGTCAGCTTGCTGACACCCCCAATCGAAAGCGAATTAGAATGGTGAACGTTGTTAGTATTCTATTGCTCTTTGAGTTGGCCATTACTATTGCTTCGGAGTCAAGTGATCCTGATATCCTACGAAACTACGGATATGTGAAGAAGCTGAAGCCGCTAGGACTGGAATTTACTGAGTACTTCCAAAATGTTACTCTGGAGAGATTGGGAGTATCCGACTCTGAGGTTCCTAACCAGAAGGATCTTCAATGTCTGACGGATATGGCAGCATTAATGAATGGCTTTTCAACCAACCAGTATTGGGCATTAAAGAGTGAGTCAATCCAAATAAAGGTAACCTGTAATCTAATTGCCACCATATGTTTATTTATCAGTGATCGATTCATGGGGTTCCATTCCATCTGGAATCTTGACTGGAAATACCTTCGACTTGGGATACTTTGATGAATGCCTGTCGATTAATAAAGTTATTAGTAGCACTCAGAAAATAAGTGGAAAGTATTGTTTTCTTATTGCCAACAGCATGAGAATCGCCACTTGCTTCCCGGCTTCATGTTCGTCCACTCAAATGGATATTTTTGTGGAACAACTTTTGCAAAAATTTCTCAACTTTAATAGCTCCAGTTTAAGTATGAAGATCAGTGAAGCAAGTTGCCAGACAAGTGATGGTGAACCTTGGGATGGACTGACTATTTTCACCATGTATGTGTTTGGTTTTCGTCTGATTTTGTTTAAATTAATAATTTGTATTGCAGAGTGCTTCTATCCGTGATGGGTGGTCTTGTGACAGTGTTTACATTTTATGACTACTTTCTGTGCAAGGATCAAGGTAAGTTGTGCCCTGAAAATATTCTCCGTAAATAAGTTATTTACCAGGATGATTTCTTTGTAGATCAAGTTCCAGCTCTGGTAAAGGCTTTCTCCGCTCGGGCCAACTCCCGATCCCTTTTCCGAATCGTGCCAAGCAAATCAAACCCCAATGTGATTGAGTGTCTTAATGGCATCCGCTGCATGTCATTAATTTGGGTTATCTTCTCCCACGAATTCATCTTCACTTTGAAAGCACCTAATCTAAATACGGCTGAATTATTTTCGGTAGGGACATGACATGGCTTAAGCAAGTTGAATTCGTTATCAATATCTTATACTGTTTTCAGTGGGCTGGGGAACCGTTTGCCAGTTTTGTGGTGCATGGATACTTCTCAGTGGACTCATTCTTCGTCCTTGGAGGCTTACTAGTCTCGATGATTGCTCTGCGTTCTATGGATAAGTGTGTATAGCCAATGTAATTCAAAAACCCATTTAATACTTAACCTCTCAATAGATCTGGTGGAAAACTTAACCCGCTGATGATGTATCTGCATCGCATTATTCGTATCTTACCAGTCGTGGCTATTGCCATACTTATCTATACTACCATGATGCCCGTTGTCAGTGGTGGACCAATGTTCAAAAGTGGATACCACGGCAAAGAGTATTGTGAGAAAGGATGGTTCTGGACCTTGCTCTTCGTCCAGAACTACGCAGTCTTGGACATTGTGAGTAATATATTATGTGTACTTTGTAATCAGACAATTAATGGTAAGACTTTGGAGATAACATTATCGAAATGCATGGCATGCATGTTTGCATTATCTGGAGATAATGATTTTGCATTTAGTAGGGATTTGATTATATAACTTTAACAATTTTAGTGTCTCGATCACACTTGGTACTTGGCTGTGGACATGCAATTGTATATCATCTCCCCGATCCTCTTACTTTCTATATATAAATGGGGCAAGAAAGCGGCTTCCGGTATTGCAGTACTTGTGGTTTTGCTCTCGGGCTGCCTTTTTGCCACTCAGATGGTAAACCACTACTCGTTGCTCATTAAGTATGGGTCTTATATATGAAATATTATAGAATGTTCTAACATATCTTTATTATACGCAGAAATACCTCTGACGATGATGGGGTTCCCAACAAGAAGTTGTACTTGGCCACGCATACTCACGCTGCTCCTTGGCTAATTGGATTCCTGTTTGGTTATTTCCTGCACCTGAATCGGGGCAAGAAATTCCAGTTGAGCTGGCTAGCTGTGTGGTCGGGATGGATCCTCAGTCTGGCAATGCTCTTCACCTCGATTTTCGCCCTTTATCCGGCGGCAAAGTGGACTGCTCCGCCTCTGTCTACACTGGAGGAATCCCTATACTATACCCTCACCCGATTGGCTTGGCCAATGGCTATTTGCTGGGTGATTTTCGCCTGCATGCAGGGTTACGGTGGTCTGGCCAACAGTTTCCTATCCACACCCTTGTGGCAGCCACTTTCTAGACTCTCCTACTCCGTGTATATTTGGCACATGTTCGTCCAAGAAGTGAACAGCAGAAATGTCAGGACGAACACACATTTCTCCACATACTCTATGGTAAGTCAGCGTTTTACATATTGCCTCAACATGTTAATTACCCCTCACCTATTTTGAACAGATGGAACATTTCTGGTTCGATTTGGGCTTCACTGTGTTGATGTCCTACCTGTTGTATCTTATCATCGAAGCGCCTTTGTGTGGATTTGACAGTCTTCTACGACCACGAGGGATCTCTCCTGTTGCTAGTCAACCAAAACTTATTTCAAATCAGAATAACGACTTAGAGACCATAAAGTCAGATGATCTAAGCGTGCCCGAAACAAAACCGCTTGAAAATTCTACCTAATCTTAATAATTCGTTAATAAATGTGCACAAGTATGCACTTTAAATATTTTATAATTTGTGGTGTTTTATTACCTCCCTGGGAAGAGTTATTAATGTCTGTTATGGTGATTGTTGGTTCATTCACCACTTCCCAGAAGTTCAATATCAGCCGATTTTAAAGTAAATCCGTATAATGATCTGATCTGATCTAAATCCATAAGCCTGATAACAGATAACAAAACACTTTGCGTGATTAATTGTTCCTGATACCGGGCAGTTTAATTGATTACTAATTATTGGGGAAGTCGGCAAAGTTGAAAAGCGGAGTCGCTCGTCTGGATGTCTCATATTGTCACAGACGGCTAGAAACCTGAGCAATTATATTGTACGTCTTTACCGGATTTGATTATTTTCCGATTTGACGTTTCTTCTTGTTCAATCGGATTATTCGTGGTTATCGCTTGATAATTCGCATATCTGTAAGAGGTTATATTTTTCTGCAGAAGCAGTAAAAAATGTGTGATTAGCATGATAGTGTTATTTTTTTGGTTCGTTTTTTTCTTTCTTCTCATCCTACTGGCATTAGTCTATTCTTATCGCATGTGATTCCCAGGTAAAGATTTTTGATGATAACCAGAAACCACCAATACCAGCTGACAATATTAGAGTATTCCCTGCAGAAAAATGCTTGACACTAATTTGGCCGATTACATGGCAAAACGTTTAAGTACTTAAAAAATGTATACCAGCCACTTGATACCACTGTTCCTCTGAATGCTGATAAGTGTTTAAGTAAATTTCGAGTGAAATTATTTATTGGCTATAAATAAAATCCCCAGAAACAAGTGATTTCCAACCATAACAAAATCTATTCAACGAATTCTATCATAATCATTGATAAAGCTTTTGAGCTTTTGATCGTTCGTAGGACATTACCAATCTTCCAATCGGTTTAACAAAATTATTAGTCAAAGTCCAAATAAAAATAAGTCTGATTGTCTCTTCACCGGAATTAAACCTTTTATAAATCGATTAAACCTCTTGGAGGATTCTAAACACCTGTTAAGGTATTTATCCTCAGTATTCATAGATTACTATTAGTTTTCTTAAAATATGTGTTACAGGAAAAAGGAAGATAGTCAATCTAATCTATGGCTCGTTATACTCGAATAAGCTTTTTGAATGGTTCATATCACCTGTCAAGATTGTTCACTCATTAGTCATAAGTTGCATGAGTATATTAGTTTTATTTTAATATACATATGTAACAAGAAAAATCAAGTCGATTCACTGACTAACCGATCTACTAACCGATCTTCAACATAAAACGTAATTAAAAAAATTTAGTTTTATGTTAACTGACATATGATATGATGCTAAAAATGCCAAGCAGAATAAGAAATTATACATATAGGGTATTTAATAGTTGGGACTCAACCATAACGACTAATCTGCTAACCATCACAATCAATGGTTATCACTCGTATATAAGCTCTCGCGATTTTAACAGAGGCATTCAATGCCGTTTAAGTTAGCATGGTCAAGTTAATAAGTTTTATTTTGCTCAGTGGGCTCGTTCTCATAAGAGGAGAACAGTTTGAGGATGAAAGTATTCTGAAGGAATTTCAGAATCTTAAAAAACTCAAGCCACTGGGTCTTGAGTTCGCCGACTACTTTCAAAATGTAACGCTGAATGATTTAAGCCTTTTCGACTCCAATTTGCCAACTCAGGAGGATCTTCTGTGCCTTAGTGAAATGGGTCAGTTAATGTTGGCTCTTAGATCTGGCCAATTTTGGGCACTTAAAAGTGAGTAAGAAAATAAATCAAAGGGATCTGTATTTCAAAGCTTACTGAAATTTATTTTAATAGTGATTGACTCTTGGGGCTCCATTCCCTCTGGCCTTTTCACGGGTAACGTATATGACTTGGGAAACTTTGATGAGTGCATCAATATCAAAAATAACAACATTCGTGGAAAATACTGCTTTTTGGAAGCTTATCCGAGTAAAATGCTGGGCTCTGAGAGTGCAATAGGTAGTTTTTTGAAAACGAAAACAGCTACTTGCTTTCCGTCCTCCTGCTCGGCCACTCACATGAACAAGTTTGTGGGTCAGATAATACAAAGACTTTTCAACGTGAGTATTCCTAGCACAGCCATGAGTATCAGCGATAGTACATGCCAGACCAGTGAAAAGGAACCCTGGAATGCACTCACCATTTTAACAATGTAAGTACCTCTATATTTAAGACTTAGTATTTTGCTAAGACCTTCTGATTTCAGAGTGATCTTAGCACTGATGGGTACTATCGTGGCCCTCTTTTCACGCTGTACGACTATTTCTTGTGCAAGAGTCAAGGTGAGTTAGACTTATAATTCTTTGAATTGTTTTATATAACCTTATATCTGTTACTTACAGATCAGCTTACCCGTGATTGTCAAGGTGTTTTCGGCCAGGGCCAACTCTCGTGCTTGTTTCCGCATCGTGCAAAACAAGTCAAACCCCAATGTAATCCACTGCCTCAACGGAATTCGGGGCATGTCGCTTTTCTGGGTGATTTTTCTCCATCAATACGCAAGCTTATTCTATTCACCAAATATTAATCGTTTTAGTATTCTCCCGGTAAGTTTTCAACCTTTAATATTTTAACAAAATTCAGCACAGCTTTTATATTTCACATTACACTGGATTCATTTTTCTTTATCGGCGGCTTATTAGTGTCTTTAATTGCACTGCGATTAATGGATAGGTAATTATTAAATTGTATATATATAATATAATATATTACACCTTATTAATTTTTAATTCTTTTGCAGAACCAAAGGCAAACTGAATGTTCCAATGATGTACTTACGCCGCTTGCTTCGCATTGTTCCCATTTTGGCCATGGCTATTCTAGTCTATACGCAGCTCACTGGTCTTTTGGGAGATGGTCCTCTTTTCAAGGGCGGATACAATGGAAAAGCGTCATGCGAAAAATCTTGGTATCTGACCATGCTTTTCGTGGTTAATTTCGCGAACGATATGGTAATACTTATCAATTTTACCTTGAAACACAAAATTTAAAAGCTTTTTTTTAGTGTCTTGATCATACTTGGTATCTAGCTGTGGATATGCAACTGTTCCTCATTTCACCACTCCTGCTCTTCGCTCTGTACAAATGGGGCAAAAAGGCTGCTGCTGGTATTTTTGTTCTCATAGTACTGCTTTCTGGGTGCCTCTTTGCTGAAATGATGGTTAACAACTACTCAATATTAAAGTACGTGTTTATTTGTACACCCTCTTTATGTTTTCTGTCAAAATTATATATATTCTTGATCCGCAGCCTTGATCTCACTCTGCAGAAGAAGATGTACTTCTACACACACACTCATGCTGCTCCGTGGCTTATTGGTTTTTTGTTCGGATACTTTCTGTACTTGAGTAAGGGCAAGAAATTCCAGCTGAGCTGGTTTTCCGTTTGGACTGGATGGATTCTTTCCCTGGCTCTGCTGTTTACATCGATCTTTGCACTCTATCCTGCTGTTATGTCGGGCATTCCTAAAGCGACGACCTTGGAATTGTCATTGTATTACACACTCACCCGAGTGGGCTGGCCAATGGCAATTGGTTGGGTGGTTTTCGCCTGCATGCAAGGATACGGCAGTCTGGCCAACAGTTTCCTCTCCTCCCCGCTGTGGCAGCCCATTTCAAAACTGTCCTACTCCGCCTATATTTGGCACAGTTTCATCCAGGAGATAAACCAAAGAATAACAAGGACAAATACATACTTCTCGGACTACCAAGTGGTAAGTGAGTGGATTTTAATTAGAGTGCATATGCTTAATAATATTTTTATAGATGCTTGATTTCTGGTCGACCCTTGGACTCACGCTTTTGTTTTCCTACCTGATGTACCTGATTATTGAGGCGCCCATTGGTGGACTTGATCTGCTTTTACGACCTCAGAAGAAGGCACCTGCTGAGATCAAAACAGTGACGGACTCAGATCTTGGAAAGGAGAATCGGATAGATGATGGCGATTCAACTAAACAAGGAGATTTGGAAGCGACCGAATTAAATACTCAAACTGCAGCTGATTAGATATTTCCATTCGGCTAAATTCATTTAAGTCCAAAGAAATGTGCTTGCTCATCAATACAATAACATTTATTGCCACTCGATTATTTATTCCGGCGCTTACAAAATATAAGATTATTTTTTTAGTCCACAGAAGCAATTGTCACGTGCTTGCAGTAGCAACATTAAAATACCTATTTATCTATGTGCTGATATGATCTTAATCTTATTAGGTTTTTGTTAGAAATATGTAGTAAAGTACTGATAAAAAAAGAAATTCTGATACGTTAAAGAAATTTAATAGTTTTTGCAATTTAAGTGACCACAATATGACTAATGTCACAATGTGTTTTAATAGACGGTGCTTATCGCAATCTAATTCGCATATAAAAGGGGTTCCGATTACGATGAAAAATAATCAGTAAGAGTTAAGCCAGCATGGTCAACATAGTCGGGGTATTTTTCCTCTGTGGGCTGGCCGGTGTTCCATTGCTTGATCAACTCAGATCCTTGGAACTTGCGATCGCTGGACATCTTGAGGATGTTGAACTGGACGACTTGAGTGTCCTGAACTCCCCTGAGAGGAGGATCTTCGGCGCCTCAGCGATATGAAGTCCGATCCTTCAGTGACCGAAGTCTATTTCATCGGCAACATGTAAGACCTGGGCAACTTCGACGAGTGTCCTAACATGCAAAAAGGGGTCAGCCAGAGCAGAGCTATTCAAAGAATGTACTGCACTTACATTTATTTTTATTACCTCCAGGGGATGAATTTCTATTAGAGCTTTATCTGTCTGTTATTGTGATTGTGGGTTCATTCACCACTTTGCAAAAGTTCAATATCAGCCGGCTTGATAGTAAATCCATATTATGATTAACTAATACTGATAACAGATAACCAAACACCTTGCGCGTTCAATTGTTTCTGATACCCAGAAGTTTAACTGATTGCTCACTACCAGGAAAATCGGCAAGCTTGAACTGCGGAATTGCCCGTCTAGATGTCTCCTACTGTTTTGTCTAATCGGTTGGCTAACAGAGCCGGCAGCTTATCGCTCATAAACTATTTTCCAAAAGCCGGTGGGGAAAACGGTCATTCGAATTCAAAATGAGCATGGCTAAAGTTGTTACCATTTTTTTGCTCGTTGAACTAGTTTTCATCGGAGCCTCAGAACTCAAGGAAACAGATCTTTTGGAGAAATATAAGCGACTAAGCCACCTACGTCCCCTGGGAGTGGAATTCGCTGAACACTTTCGACATGTTTTCATCGAGGATTTGTCTTTGGATTCTAAAACAGGATTGCCGAGACAAGAGGAACTATTATGCATGGCAGATATGGCACTGCTTATAAAGAGCTTAGCAGATGGAAACTATTGGGCCCTAAAGAGTAAGTCATTGAGAACAAAAACGAAATTGTTTTAATTAATTTAATACCTTAGTGATCGATGCTTGGGGTTCCATTCCCTCGGGGCTGCTTTATGGAAATTTTTACGATTTGGGAAATTATGATGAGTGTCTCAAGATCAGTCAGCAGATCACAAGCGATCATAGGATTCAAGGAAAGTACTGCTTTCTCTCAGCATCCTTTGCTGAACTTCTCGGTATTGCGGCCTTAAAGGCAAAACCAGTAAATATAGCCATTTGCTTTCCGGCCTCGTGTTCACCTGCTCAAATGGAAGGATTTGTAGGACAGTTTCTTCAGGGAGTGCTGGGCTCGAATAGTTCCACCAGTTTAAGTATCAGTGAAGCTACTTGCCAGACAATAGACGCCAAACCTTGGGATGGCTTGACCATATTCACTGTGTAAGTCTTACCTAAACCTTAGGCTGTGCAAAGTACTAACCACTGATATTATAGAGTGGTCTTATCTATAATGGCTTCCATCGTGGCCTTCTTCACTCTATATGACTACTTTTTGGGTAAAGAAGATGAACCATCAGCACTGGTAAAAGCTTTTTCTGCTAGAGCCAACTCTCGAGTTCTTTTTCGCTGTGTGGATGGTAAATCTAATCCAAATGTAATAGATTGTCTTCACGGCATCCGATGCATGTCCATTATTTGGGTAGTCTATTCCCATGTCAACTTGTATTTTATCACCATGCCCAATATGAACCTCGCAGATTTGATTCCGGTAAGTTGCCTTGAACTACTGACGATATTTCTAACAGCATAACAATATTATCATTTCTAGTGGGCTGAAAAACCCTTTTCCAATGTTGTCCTACACGGTGTATTCTCTGTGGATTCCTTTTTCTTCCTCGGGGGTTTGTTAGTAGCAATGATTGCTCTGCGTTCGATGGATAAGTAAGGCAAAAGATGCTTTTAAATTTAATGATTTTAATTTCGGTGTATTTTAGATCCAATGGAAAATTAAATGCACCACTTATGTATCTGCATCGCTTGATAAGAATCCTACCAGTTTTGGCCATGGCCATTCTTATCTACATGAAGGTCATGCCACTTGTTTCTGGTGGCCCCCTGTTTTACAGTGGATTCCAAGGAAAAGAGGCTTGTGAAAAAGGCTGGTTTTGGACCTTGTTGTTCATTCAAAACTATGCAACAACGGATATAGTAAGTGAAAAAAGCTTAACCATGAAGAATGATAGCTGAAATTACTTTTTAGTGCCTTAGTCATACTTGGTACTTGGCAGTGGACATGCAGCTGTATATCATTTCCCCGATTCTACTGATCGGTCTTTACAAATGGGGAAACAAGGCAGCTGCCCTAGTGGTTATACTTATTCTTTTGCTTTCTGGTTGTCTTTTTGCCACGATGATGATCAACAATTTCTCCTTTTTGATCAAGTAGGTCCCAAAGACTATTCACTACGGTCCTTTAATCAGTTTATCTTCCTGCAGGAATACGAGTGGCGGAGATATGGCCAATCACAAGCTGTATCAGGCAACACATAGACATGCAGCTCCTTGGTTGATTGGATTTCTATTTGGATACTTCTTACATCTGAATAGAGGTAGAAAGTTCCATCTGAGTTGGTTGGCAGTATATACTGGATGGACCATTAGCCTAGCCTTACTTGGAACATCGCTTTTCGCTCTCTACCCGGCATCCAAGTGGAGTGCTCCTGCATTGTCCACTCTGGAGGAATCCCTCTATTACACCCTTACTCGACTGGCCTGGCCCATTTCCCTATGCTGGATAGTGTTTGCCTGTATGCAGGGTTACGGAGGCCTTGCCAATAGCTTCTTATCATCCCCACTGTGGCAACCACTTTCAAGGCTCTCATACTCCGTTTATATATGGCATATGTTCATCGTGGAGGTGAATTGCAAAAACGTTAGAACCAGTACATATTTCTCAAACTACACTGCGGTATGTTTTTGCTTCTAAATATGGTTTTAAGTACTGGTTTAATAATATTCATATTTTTCATATAGATGCAAAAGTTCTGGTCAGACTTTGGCTTTACCGTTCTGTTCTCTTACGTGTTTTACCTCATTATTGAAGCACCTTTGGGAGGATTTGACGGTCTACTAAAACCGAAAAGAAAGTCTGCTGAGGATATGCCTAGTCCTTCTTCTAATATAGTACCCGCCGAAACTCAGTCTAATTTAAAATCAGGGCTGATTTTGGGACCACTAAATCCGACTAATTAGTTCCTCAACAATTATGCCTTGCTGGCAAAATAATTAATATTACCAAATTAAGCTCTCAGTAAATACTGATTTTGTAAAATTAATTAATGCAGTAGAACTCTTGATTAGGAAAATGATATGTAAACCTATTTCTCCGTTTTGTTATAAAAATAAACTCTGATATCATTTAATTATATAAAGATGTAAGTCAGATGTTCCAATTAAGTATTTATTGTTAATAAAGGGGGTCTGCTAAAGTCATCGAATAAGTCAGCCCCTGTTGTTCTAAGACATTCACAAAGTGGTTTTGCACAACATCTAATGTTATTCACTTATTTACAAAACCCGAAGTATTGACGTATTTACCCTTTGATTATTCAAAAGACAGAAGAAAACGGTTTCGGATCGATTCAACTAAGCAAAGTTGAAGGCGACTGAATCGAATACTCAAACCGAACCTATCTGCATTCGAATTAATTTATTTAACCCCAGATAAGTGTGCTTGTACATTTATTCCCACTCGATTATTTAATTCGGGAGGTTACAAAAGAAAAAAGTCCACAGAAGAAATTGTCAACTGACTGCAGAAGCGTTATTATAAACCTATTTATGATATGATCTTAATCTTATTAATTATTTCGAAGAAATATGTATTGAAGTAGTGATTAAAATACGAATTCTGATAAGTTTAAAGATTACCTTTTATGGTAGTTCAATGGAATTGACCATCATATGACTAATGTCACAAGGTGATTCGTAGACATTGCTTATCGCAAGCTAATTCGCATATAAAAGGGGTTCCGATTTCGATGAGAAATAATCAGTACGAGTTGAGCCAGCATGGTCAACATATTCGGAGTAGTTTTCCTCTGTGGGCTGGCCCTAATCAGTGCCACAAAATATAAAGAAGATGGTGTCCTGCCGGAGTTCCATCGTGTTGAGCAACTCAGATCCTTGGGACTTGCGTTCGCTGGACACCTTCAGGATGTTGAACTGGACGAGTTGAGTGTCCTGGACTCCCGGGTGCCAACTGCAGAGGATCTTTTGTGCCTCAGCGATATGAATGCGCTTATGAACGGACTTCGAGTTGGTCAATACTGGGCACTGAAAAGTAAGTGAACTGCGGACGAAAATCTAGTACGTTTTATGACCTACTTATCTTCTCCGTACTACGTCAGTGATCGATTCTTGGGGTTCCATCCCATCGGGTCTGCTTAACGGCAACATGTACGACCTGGGAAACTTCGACGAGTGTCTTAACATCAGGAAAGAGGTCAGCCAGAGCAGGGCTATCCAAGGAAAGTACTGTTTTCTCTCAGTGTCTGTCGGTGCAATTCTTGGAGTCGAGAAGGGGATCATCGGAACCTTCAAAACTGCCACTTGTTTTCCGGCATCCTGCTCGGCAGCTCACATGAACACGTTTGTGGGTCAACTGATGAAGCAGTTCCTCAACGCCAGTATTCCCAGCTCAGTCATGAGTATCAGCGACAGCAGTTGCCAGACAATTGAAAGTGAACCCTGGGATGGACTCACCATTTTTATGATGTAAGTCTACCGCCAATTTAATCAGTTTTCGGCTAACGCTTTACGATTCCAGAGTTTTCTTATCGGCGATGGGTGCCCTAGTAGCTTTGTTTACTCTGTGGGACTACTGTCTGGGTAAAAATCAGGGTGAGTGGTCAAAAATTATAAATCCGATACAGAAATTTCACAATAATCCATTATCTACAGATAGTCTACCAGTAATAGTAAAGGTCTTTTCGGCACGTTCTAACTCTCGTGCTCTTTTCCGAGTTGTGGATACCAAATCAAATCCGAATGTCATCGAATGTCTTAATGGAATACGGTGCCTGTCTCTTATTTGGGTGGTTTTCTGCCATCAGTACGTAATGTCTTTACTTTCGGCTAATATTAATATTTTCAAGGCTGTATCGGTAAGCATATAATTTATATTTGTCGAACCAAATGTTTTAAATTAATTATTTCACAGTGGGAGGAGACACCATATGCCAGTTTTATTTTGCATGGATTTTTCTCAGTGGATTCGTTTTTCGTGCTTGGCGGAATATTGGTGGCTTTGATTCCGTTGAGATTAATGGATAGGTGAGACGATGAAACAATTTGTAAGTCAGCTACTACATAAATAATAATTTTGCAGAACCAAAGGAAAACTAAATGTGCCACTGATGTATCTACATCGATTGATCCGAATTGTCCCGCTTTTGGCAATTGCTATTGTCATCCATATGAAACTTATGCCAATTATAACAGACGGACCTCTTTTTGCTAGCGGCTACTCACAAAAGGCAATGTGTGAAAGAAGTTGGTATTTCACTTTGCTTTTCGTGAATAACTACACGGACGACAAGGTAGGTCCCATTCATTATTAATCGCAAAATAAATTAAATAGTTTTTTTTTGGACCTTAGTGCCTTGGTCATTCGTGGTATCTGTCGGTCGACATGCAGTTGTTCCTTCTCTCTCCACTCTTGCTTCTTGCTCTGTATAAATGGGGCAAGAAAGCGGCTGCTGGTATATTCGTCCTTATAATTTTACTTTCCGGATGTCTGTTTGCCACCATAATGGTCAACGAATACTCACTGATTTTGAAGTATGTACATGCTTATATGCTTTGAATTGTTATAAACCTTTTTTTAACTAGGAACTTTACTCCCCTCGGTATGAAGGATATGTACTATGCTACGCATACACACGCCACGCCTTGGCTGATAGGTTTTCTCTTCGGCTACTTCCTGCACTTGAATAGTGGTAAGAAGTTTCAGCTGAGCTGGGCTGCCGTTTGGTTGGGATGGATCCTTTGCCTGGCCATGATCTTCACCTCGATCTTCGCCCTCTACCCGGCGGCCCAGTGGAGTGCTCCTAAATTGTCCACCCTGGCGGAGTCTTCTTACTACACCCTCACTCGAGTGGGGTGGGCGATGGCCCTCTGCTGGGTGATCTTCGCCTGCAAGCATGGATACGGTGGACTGGCCAACAGCTTCCTCTCGTCCCCGCTGTGGCAGCCCCTCTCCAGGCTGTCCTACTCCGTCTACATGTGGCACATGTTCGTCCAGGAGGTGAACGCCAGAAGTATGAGGACGAACTCCTACTTCTCGAATTACAGAATTGTGAGTTTAAGCAAGATCAGATTTATTTTGTTACATATTTTACATTTAACATTTTTGCAGATGCTCAACTTCTGGTCGACCTTTGGATTCACCGTGCTGTTTGCCTATTTAATGCATTTACTCGTTGAGGCGCCTTTTGGTGGACTTGATCGTTTTCTGGGGCCAAGTAGAAAAAGTCCTCCTGTTGTGAAACAGAAATCAAATATTGATAGTAACCTGGAAAAGATTAATGTTACAACTCCAACTTCTACTGCATATTAGGTACAAAATTAATGAGTGATCTTAGTAGTTTAAGTAATTTATAATATAAATCAGGGCTGATTCAGGGACCAAGTAATTTGTATGACAATTTGTTTTTGTATGAAAACTTTTTTTTAAGGACCTGTTACCTGTTGATGTTACTTTTAAGTATTGATAAGTAATAAAAAAAGTCATCCAAAACTGTTAGCAAGTGTTGTTTTAAGGAATTCGCAGTCGTTCTACACAAAGTCCAATATTATTCACTTAATTAGTAAATCAGAAGTATTGAATTATCGCCTTTTGATTATTATACCTTGCAGAGGGATTTTGGTAAAAGGTGCAACGCAGTGAAGGAGACATCTCCGACCCTATAAAGTATATATTTTATAATTGTCTGTCCGTCTGTCTGTCCGTCTGTCTGTCCGTCTGTCCGTCTGTCTGTTTCTTCCCCCACTAATTTTTTTTTTTTTTAAGTATCGAGTTCAAACTTTGCACACACCCTTCTTTCCTTTGCACGCAAAAAAAAAATAGGAAGGGGGGGGGGTATATCCTTAGCTGCCATATACTGATTGATCGGAAATGCCATAACTTTGGTGTTTGTAAAGTTAGGAAGTTGGCATTTTCTTTGGGGGTTTTTTTTGGCAAAAAAATCCGACCTACCAAATTTTATAAGGATCGGCCGACTATATCCTATAGTGCCATATAACTGATTGATCGGAAATGCCATAACTTTGGTGTTTGTTAGTTGGTTGATTTTCTATGGGTTTTATATTTGGCAATAAACCTATATACAGCATATCCTATAGCCGCCATATAACTGATTGATCGGAATAACTTTGGTGTTTGTTAAGTTGGAAGTTGGGATTTTTGTGAGTATTAAGAATGCATCATATGAATAATTTTGAGAATATAATTTACAGAGTATTCTGGTTTCACCCGAGTTGTTTCCTTTCTTGTTTTTTATAATCTTTAGCTTGTCACCTGGACAACTATTTGATTATCTTACGATTTGACGTGTTTCCTTGTTAAATCGGATTACTAATAAATTAAATAGGTTAAAACCTAAAGAGGAACAACATATTCACCTTATTGCCACACGATTTTTTTGTGGCATTCAAGCTACGTTACAAACAAAAAAACAAATTTCATCCAAGAGATACACCAAAGAATTTCCAGGATAAAAACATATTTTTGTAAACTACAAAGTGGACACCAACATATATTTATAACTCTAAACATGCCTAATATTGTCTCTAACTGGCATATTTTAGGTCTTACAAAAAGGCACCAGCAGAGATCAAAACTGTGACGGATTCGAATCAGACAAAGGAGAATCAGATAGATGATTGGGTTTAACTAATCAAAGAGAGTTAGAGGCGACTGAATCAAATACCGCAAACGCAACGGATAAGATATTTCGATTCGGATTAAATTATTCAAGTCCAGGGAAATCTTTTTGTTCATTTAAACGTTTATTACCTTTGAATTATTTATTTCGGGTTCTTAGAAAATATTAGATTATTTACACGAAACCAATTTTCACGTGACTGCTATTGCGTTATTTAAATACCTATTTATCTTAATGCTGATATGATCTTAATCTTAGTGTTTGCTCGAAATAAGTAAAGATTACAAAAACACTGATTACTGATAAGCTTAAAGATTACCTTTTATGGTTTTTTTCAATGGAATTGACCATCGTGTGAATAATGTCACAATTTGTTTATTAGACCTTAGGTCCTTATCGCAAGCTAATTCGCATATAAAAGGGGTTCCGATTTCGATGAGAAATAATCAGTAAGAGTTGAGCCAGCATGGTCAACATATTCGGAGTAGTTTTCCTCTGTGGGCTGGCCCTAATCAGTGCCACAAAATATAAAGAAGATGGTGTCCTGCCGGACTTCCATCGTGTTGAGCAACTCAGATCCTTGGGACTCGCGTTCGCTGGACACCTTCAGGATGTTGAACTGGACGAGTTTAGTATCCTGGACTCCCGGGTGCCAACTGCAGAGGATCTTCTGTGCCTCAGCGATATGAATGCGCTTATGAACGGACTTCGAGTTGGTCAATACTGGGCACTGAAAAGTAAGTGAACTTTGGACGAAAATCGAGTACGTTTTATGACCTACTTACCTTCTCCGTACTACGTCAGTGATCGATTCTTGGGGTTCCATCCCATCGGGTCTGCTTAACGGCAACATGTACGACCTGGGAAACTTCGACGAGTGTCTTAACATCAGGAAAGAGGTCAGCCAGAGCAGAGCTATCCAAGGAAAGTACTGTTTTCTCTCAGTGTCTGTCGGTGCAATTCTTGGAGTCGAGAAGGGGATCATCGGAACCTTCAAAACTGCCACTTGTTTTCCGGCATCCTGCTCGGCAGCTCACATGAACACGGTTGTGGGTCAACTGATGAAGCAGTTCCTCAACGCCAGTATTCCCAGCTCAGTCATGAGTATCAGCGACAGCAGTTGCCAGACAATTGAAAGTGAACCCTGGGATGGACTCACCATTTTTATGATGTAAGTCTACCGCCAATTTAATCAGTTTTCGGCTAACGCTTTACGATTCCAGAGTTTTCTTATCGGCGATGGGTGCCCTAGTAGCTTTGTTTACTCTGTGGGACTACTGTCTGGGTAAAAATCAGGGTGAGTAGTCAAAAATTATAGGTCTGACACAGCAATTTCACAATAATCCTTTATTTCCAGATAGTCTACCAGCGATAGTGAAAGTCTTTTCGGCACGTTCTAACTCTCGTGCACTTTTCCGAGTTGTAGATACCAAAGCCAATCCGAATGTCATCGAATGTCTTAATGGAATACGGTGCTTGTCTCTTGTGTGGGTGGTATTCTCGCATCAATACATAATGTCCATTTATTCTGCAAATATTAATTTTTTCGATGCTCTTTCGGTAAGCGTATAACTTATACTTCTACAGACAAAATAATTTTACATGAAAAATTTCAAAGTGGGAGGAAACACCCTTTGCCAGTTTTATTTTGCATGGCTTTTTCTCAGTGGATTCGTTTTTCGTCCTTGGCGGAATATTGGTGGCCCTGATTCCATTGAGATTAATGGATAAGTAAGGTGATGAGACAGTTTTCAAAACAGATACTTAAAATGTTATTTTGCAGAACGAAAGGAAAGCTTAATGTTCCACTGATGTATCTGCATCGCTTAATTCGAATAGTTCCGCTTTTGGCCATTGCTATTGTTATCCATTTGAAACTTATGCCAATTTTAATTAATGGACCTCTTTTTGCTGGCGGCTACTCACGAAAAGCGGTCTGTGAGAGAAGTTGGTATTTTACTTTGCTTTTCGTAAATAACTACACAGACGACAAGGTAAGTCCGATTCATTATTATATAAATTAAATTAAATTTTTTTTTTTTGGACCTTAGTGCCTTGGTCATACGTGGTATCTTTCGGTCGACATGCAGTTGTTCATTATCTCTCCACTTTTGCTCTTTGCTGTGTATAAATGGGGAAAGAAAGCTGCTGCTGGTATATTCGTCCTTATAATTTTACTTTCTGGATGTCTGTTCGCCACCATAATGGTCAACGAATACTCATTGATATGGAAGTATGTACAGACAAAAGTTAATATTTTTAAATTTTGTATTTTTAAAAACCATTTTTTAACTAGGAACTATAGCCTTGACGGGATGGCTAAAATGTACTTTGCCACCCATACACACGCCATGCCCTGGCTAATAGGTTTCCTCTTCGGCTACTTCCTGCACTTGAATAGTGGTAAGAAGTTTCAGCTGAGCTGGGCTGCCGTTTGGTTGGGATGGACCCTTTGCCTGGCCATGATCTTCACCTCGATCTTCGCCCTCTACCCGGCGGCCCAGTGGAGTGCTCCTAAATTGTCCACCCTGGCGGAGTCTTCTTACTACACCCTCACCCGAGTGGGATGGGCGATGGCCCTCTGTTGGGTGATATTCGCCTGCAAGCATGGATACGGAGGACTGGCCAACGGCTTCCTCTCGTCCCCGCTGTGGCAGCCCCTCTCCAGGCTGTCCTACTCCGTCTACATGTGGCACATGTTCGTCCAGGAGGTGAACGCCAGAAGTATGAGGACGAACTCCTACTTCTCGGATTACAGAATTGTGGGTTTAAGCAAGATCAGATCCACATTGATTTATATTTCACAACTAACATTCTTGCAGATGCTCAACTTCTGGTCGACCTTTGGATTCACCGTGCTCTTTGCCTATTTAATGCATTTACTCGTTGAGGCGCCTTTTGGTGGACTTGATCGTTTTCTGGGGCCAAGTAAGAAAAGTCCTCCTGTTGTGAAACAGAAATCTAATATTGATGATAATGGACCTATTAACCTGGAAAAGATTAAAATTACAACTCCAACTTCTGCTGCACATTAGATGTAAAAATAATGTGTGATCCTAGCCGTTTAAGTAATTTATATTTTAAGTGTAGGTAAATATATATATTTTATTGTTTTCTAAAGTAATTGGTAGTACTTTTTTATGGACGGCTTGAAGTTAGCCCTGCTCCTGACTGAGTAAGACATTTATATACGACTCCCCCGCTTCCGGCTGATGGTGCAACACCCACATCACTTTCTGGTTGCATGTCCTGTGTAAATTTAAGGCTGGAAACAAATGGAGAACTTCTTGACTTGCGTCGACTTCGCTTAGCCCGATGCCATAAACTACGTGCAACTGCCACTGCCACTGCAACTCCAGTCGCAAACTGCAATGAGTGTCTGCCTGGGCCGACAAAACGATCTGGATCCGGATCCGAATTCGAATTCCCACTGCGCATATTTTATGGCAGTTACGCGGCTGCCGGGCAACTTAATTAGTGCCTGCTGGTGTGCTTCGACTCCGGGTTCGACTTTCATTTCCACAGCCACTTCCACTTCGATTGCGGCAGGGACAGCTGCATTGCACCTGACATTTAACATTATTACGCGGCACCTCCGCCGAATACCGAATGAGTTTGCCGGCCATTACAGGCAGCTCCTTAAAGTGGCGCCTCAGCGCTACTCGCGTTAAAGCGGTGTTAAGCTTAATGTGCACCACATTGACGCCACATGGAAGCCCGAAACATGGAGCCCGGAACATGAAACTGAAACTCCGACCTTTAGGCGGCAGTGGTGAC